GGAAAAAGGGATAGAGAAGATGATCCATGGAGACTTGGCTAAGAAGGATTAAGGGGAAAACACAGTAGAAATCACAAGTAACAGAAGGCAGAACTTCAACCTGGTAGCCCACCATGATGAAGGCAGTGTTGTGCTAATTCTGTGGTCCTGTGAAGACACAGAGCAATCTTGCACCTATATCTGGTTGCATTTGCAGGCTTAGCAGGTACATTCATACCCTGACAGCGGGTAAAAGCACTGAGAGGTGTGTGCAAGATGCTGCACAAACCTAGCAGTCCCTAGACTAGATGGTGAGTGTCACAGAGCACAGAATCTGTGTACTTTCAAAGATCATCTGCATTACCTCAGTTTACAAAGTCTTTAGTAAGTGCTGTCTTTCTCTCGCTTTCAAAAGCTTGCTGTACAGACGGACACAAATCTTGCTGCGCATAACAGCTTGACTTTGTCAGGCTAACAAGAGTAGTGATCCTTGTCCCACTGATGCCAGCACTGTTAACACCAGCAACAGACAGGGCAGAATCCTTCCTGCTGTGCACAGATTCACAGACTGAATCCTGCTGTGCTGGATTCAGGCTCTAACTACCCATCAGGTTGGTGGTGTAAATGGGGCCAAAGCTGCCTCTGCATCCTATTCTCTACACTCTAGTAAATCCATCCTTGGAAAATGATCCAGTGGTCCTGGCGGTAGAGCCTAGTCTGTCTCCAGAGCCTCGTGTTTAGGGCTGTCAGGCCTCAGCAATGACTCAGCCCTGTGTGGAGCAAAAGGAATATAGATGAAGAGCTGAACAACTAGAATCAGTTGCAAGGGACATCATTGCTCTTTAACAAGGCCATGTGTGCAAAGTAGGGACGGAAGGTATGAACAGATTGCCATTAAATGTCTCTTCTGGGGTAACAACGCATGCAGTTACTCACGCAGAGACAGTGAAAGAAAGCAGCCACAGAGAAGCTTTCCATGGGTTGCTCGCTTGACCTAAATCACTTACTGAGTGGCCTTAAATTTCAGTTCTAGTCTTTGGAGAGTAAAAGAGACACCTTCAAGTCCCATTCATATTTTAGCTAAGCGGAATAATTTTTATTCTTCAGCTCCATGGACTTTGCAGATTTTAGGTAATGGACTCCTAAACTGAGTGTTTATATCTGGGTGAGATGAGTCCAAGCCAAGGGCTTCTGGGGGAAGTAAATCTTACTCTGGCTTAAACACAGACAATGAATGTCTCCCACATTGCAGAGCTGATCCTTACAGTCTGGTAAGAAGCTGCTGTTAAAAACTTCCCTGTGACAGAGCATTAGGACTAGTGCACTGACAGCACAGATTACAAGGACATGACAAAAATTATGTTTGCTCTAACCAAGACTTTGAGATACATTTCCCCTGATGTTACAGACCTACACTGTAACTATCTCCTTCACAGCTGGTTATAACCACTAGAGTGATATAGGTTCCTTGTGGCCATGGGACATAGTCTCATCTGGAACAGCCCCTTAGGACAAGTGAATTGAGACCTACAAGCCCTGTCTGTCTCCTCTAAAACCAGCCTCAGATGGAGATGTCTGCATCTTTAATTCTATCATTAGGACTTTAAGCCATTATCTCTAATCAATGTGCAAGGAGAACAGTCTCAGGCTCTATTTAGATGCTTCAGAGAACCAGCTGGTTTGAAACAATATTGGTATTTACCAGATGCATTTGACTATGATTTGCTCAGTGGAGCAAGTTCTTGGTCAGTGTTACCTGTGGCAAAAATACTTTGTTCTTGTGCACAGAACCTAACTGATTGGGAACCTAACTGTTCAGGAACCTACCTGCTCCTTCTTTATCTCTAGGCACCACTTCTGAGCTAGGGTGTATATACTTGTCTTAGTAACTTTAACACTTTTACTCACAAATTTACTTCAGTAATACCTGACATTTATACCCGTTCCCAGCAAAGTGAATTGTTTTTCTTGAAACAGATGAGTTTGGCTGGTGTCCAACCTATCAAACACAGATGCCTTTGTTTCTCCATTTCAGACTGCCGATGAAGCAGTTCTCATAAGATAGGTATCTAACTCCTCTGCCTGGTCAACAGAGAAAGGCATTTGCCTCTGTAGCCCTCCAGAAGGAAACTCCATCTGCCCAAGTTTAAGACCTGAAAAAGAGATTGTGCACTCGAAAACCTATTTACATAACCCACTCAATTGACCTGTATATATCACCATTTATTACAAACCCTACCTAAACTCAGGTAAATCATCTCTGTGGGCAGGATATGTTGTTCCTAGACATCATCAAAGGGTCTTCTTTTCTCCACTGACTGGGTAGGTGCTGTAGACCCCTGATTTAGAAGGACAGCTTCACTGGGTTCTTGAAATACTGGCCCAAATTAGGCAGATAGGATAATCAGATGTGACTTTCATGTGAAAATATATTGGGGGGGTGGGGGGTGGTTGTTGTTCTTTTAGCCCCAGCAAGTCCTAGTCTTTCACCTGTACATATATATATGTTTGTGTGTGTGCATCGCATCCACAGTGTCTGAGGGTGTGTGTGGAGGACAGGCAGAGGGATGGCAGTACCCACTTTAAAGCTACTGGGTCATTGGCAGACCAGCCTGGTCCTTCCTGCTCCACCCATAAGGGAAAATGTTTTCCCCAGTCAATGTTATGTCAAAGAACGTCTTCTCAGCTTGAGAATTGCTTGGGGCTAGCATCCACATCCAGCATTGCCCACGGTACTGCCACCCCTGACCCTGCAGCCAGTGCCATCTCATACTCCAAACCCAGACAGGAGATGTGTGTTGCTGCCATTTACCAGGGATAGAGCAGGATAGTACTTGTTCCACCAGGTCTCTCCCATTGCCACTGCTGCATTCATGTGAGCAAAGCCTGTTAGCCCGGTTTTTTTTTGTAAAGCCCAACCCATGCTGCTGGCATGGCTTCAGTAAGGAAAGAGCCAGGTTTTGCTATGATGGTGCTTCCAGCTGTCCTTCCTCCCCCACCTGCTCTTTTTGGTGTGGTATGACATAACCAGAAAGCCCTGAGGTGTAAGAGGCTTTCTTCTCTTCCTAATGCACAGCCTGGACCTGTACAGCTGATGCTACTTGTTCTTGGGTACCCAGTGACACAAGTGTCAAAAGCTCTACCCTGAGCCATCTTCAAAAAGACAGTTTTCTCCCTCTTGGCTTGTGAAATAATTGTAGACCCAGATATTGCATCTGCCTTGGGGGTACCAGTCTATTGCCTTCACCCAAACTCCAGGAAACTCAGGTTGATACTTTCAGCTCATCGAAGGGCAGGGAATTGAGGCCAGGCCATCACAAAAGATTCAGCTCCAACCAAGACAGCAGCCAGCTGTGGGAAAAGTGTTGAGCTGAAGCCAGTGCTCAGATCAGGGGCTTAGTTCAGCATCATCTCTTGTCAGCTGAGCATAACTGCTGTAACCATAAAGCATGTTTCAGCTCATAAAAATATAGAAACAAACAAAAAAAAAAGCCAGAGAAAGAATTTTCTCTAGCCAGTGTGCATGACTTCAGGATGAGAACTGCCAACAACATTCTTGTGACACCCAAATGCAAGGTGAAATTTCAGTCGTGTGCAGTGACTTTTCAGAAATAGGCTGGGAGGAGAGATATGAGCCCTGCCAAGGGGATAGAAAGGCAATACCTGAAGAACAGGGTGCAGAGCTGCTGACTGAGACAAGTGTATCGTTCTGTGCAGTGGTTTTTGGTGTTTACTGAGGCAAAACTCCCTGGGCCAGTAAAGGAACATTTTCCTTTGTAAGAAAGGAACAGGGTGTTTTTGAAGATTGTAGAAACCAGCCCCTGGCAGTTTCTTTTTTCTTTTCTGTTTCTCTTTTTCTTCGTCTTTTCCTTTTTCTTTTTCTTTTTCTTTTTCTTTTTCTTTTTCTTTTTCTTTTTCTTTTTCTTTTTCTTTTTCTTTTTCTTTTTCTTTTTCTTTTTCTT